TAATGTTTTTTTTTTTTTTCATAGAATTGGGGCAGCAGAAATACCTGGAAGAGTGCAAAGAATATGCATTATTTCTCCCTCAAATATCTAAAGGAACTCACCAGTGAAGTCACCTGACCCTAGGTTTTCTTTGTGAGAAGAGTTTTAACTACAAAATAAACTTACTTCATAGATAAAGGGCTATCTATTTTTTTTCTTAAATCAGGTTTGGTAATTTGTATTTTTCAACTAATTTGTTCATTTCACCAAAATGGGTCAGTTATTGGCATAAGATTCTCACAAGTCTATTAATAATCCTTTTAATATCTATGGAGCCAATCTTGATGTCAGCTCTCTCATTTGTAATATTGGAAATAAGTGTTTTTTCTTCTTTCCTGATCAGTCTAGCTAGTGGTTTTGCAGTCTTATTGAGTTTCTGAAGTATCAGCATTTGATTATATTGATATTCTCTCATTTTCTCATTTTCTATTCTATTGATTTATATTATTTTCTTAAGCTTACTTTGGATTTAAATTCTCCTTTTGCTGGTTTCTTAAGGTTGACAATGAAGTCATTGGTTTGATCTTTTCTAATACGCTTGGTGTTAACAAGTTTCTCCTAAGTACTTCTTTAGCTGTATCCCACCAATTTTGCTGTGTTTTCATTTTCAGTTAAATTTTTTTGATTTGTCCTTTGATTTATGGATTATTTAGACAAGTAATTTCATTTCCAAAATATATGGGTATTTTCCAGAGATCATTCTTGATTTCTAATTTAATTCCATTGTGGTCAGAGAACATTATTTGTATGACTTGAATCTTTTAGAATTTGTCACTTATATTTATGGTCCAGCAAATGGCCTATCTTGGAGCATGGACCAGGTACACATGAAAAGAAAGTGTGTTCTGCTGTGGGTGTAATGTTTGAGAAATGTCAATCAGATCACGTTGGTTGATAGTGTTATTAAAGTCTCATATGTTCTTAGTGATTACTGCTGTCACTCCACAGAAAGAGTAGCGACCTCAACCCAAAATTTGGTTCTGATATTGAGGTTGATGAGGCCATCACACATACACATCAGGAGAGGATGAAAAGGTTTGTGACTCACATATTGAGGCTTTCAGGTCCAAAATGGGTTGAGGGCGGAGGGAAATGAGACTGGCTTACGGTTTTTATGGTGGTTAGTGGGTAGGGTGAGAATGAGGGCTTCCACTCATGGCATGAATTTCCATGGTGGCCAGTGAGGAAGCATCAGGGCTTCTTATGTTTTCCAGATGTGGAATGGAGGGAAAAGGGAAGATGAGGCTTAAATGCTGTCAAGATTTTTTAAATAATGGAGTCAGACTCTATTATGATGGTTTTCGTTTTTTGCTTTTTGGGCTTTTTTTTTTTTTTTTTGTCTACTTGTTCTGTCAGTTATTGAGAATATTGAACTATCTGACCATAATTGTGGATTTGTCTATTTCCCTTTACAGTTCTTTCCTTTTTCCCCATGTATTTTTAAACTCTGTTATGGGTGGCATAAATGTTTAGAATTATGTTTCCTTGATGAGCTAACCCCTTTTCTTCATGAAAGGATATCTTTGCCCTCAAAATAAGCTGTGCTCTGAAATTTGTATTGTTTGATAGTAATCGTCACTCTGGCTTCCTTTCGATTAATGTTAGGATGGTATATCTTGGTCCACCCTTTTACCTTACCTATTTGTCTTTATAATTAAAATGTGCACTGTATGCAACATACAATTGGGTCCTTTTTTTAAATCCAACCTGAAAGTTTCTTTTAATGAAAGCGATCAAACCATTTACATATCATAACAAATTTGGTTATTGACACAGGATTCAGTCTGTGATCTTGTGATTTGATTTTTATTTATGTCATCTGTTCATTGTTCCTCCTTTTCGCTTTTCTGAAGTTCTGTGCACTTGAGTTCTAAACCAAGAGCTCCGTGGCCCTCAGTGTCAGTGTACTGATCAACCCTGTGTAGCTGGCCTAGTGTGCTCACCACTGGTCATTGTCCTCCAGTCCTTGGTTCTAATACTTTAAGGTTGGAAAAGATGAGCTCATGTGGGGCCCAACGAAGACAGCATGGGTAATTTCTTGCAGTTTTCTGCCACAGTAGCCTTGACTCCCCTCCCTTCTGTGTGTGTCTGTATGTGTGTATATATTTGGTATTCATTTAGTTTGAAAATATGTGTGCAGGTAAAGACAAGTATAGTTTCCATCTTACAAATGGACTGTGTACCAAAATTATTTATTAAGCCACGTCTGATGAACTGAATGTTTGTGTTCCCCCAAATTCATATGTTGAAGCCCTAACCCCCAGTGTGACTCTCTGGAGACAGGGCCTTGTGGACGTAATTAAGATTAAATGAGATCATAAGGGTGGGCCCCTGATCTGAAAGGATTAGCGTCCTCATAAGAAGAGAAACAAAGAGGAGAGCTTATTCAGTCTCCAACCACAGGTGCACAAAGTAGAAGGCATGAAAGCACACAGAGATGATAGCCACCTGCATGCCTCTAACCTATCTGCCTGCACCTTGATCCTGGACTTCCAACCTCCAGAACTGTGAGAAATAAATACCTGTTGTTTAAGCCACCCAGTAGCTGTTATTACTATGGTGGCCCAAGACACCATGTGCTTTTGTTTCCCAAAGCTACAACATAGTAAGTCAAGGCTGGGCTTCCTGTCTAGCGTACTGAAGCCAGAACGTAACACTAAACATGTTTAGGTGTTAGACCTTAAAGTCCAGATATGTAGGTATAGGCTGTAACTATGTTTTCATTGCTTTGGCTGTTACATAGCTTATAATCAAAGATTAAGATATGTTAGTCATTTATAGTCAAAAATCATGAAGTATGTTAGTCATATCCTGAAGGCCTGCCTATAAAGCAAGTTCCAAAAAAAAAGTTTAAAGGTACACTTTGCTTGAGATAATAGAAAATGTAGCTAGTTACACACAAAGCAATGATGGCTTAAACAATAACAATGGTAACAAGATATTTCATTTCTGCCTGTGCTTTCAAGATAACATCAGTGATGCACAGCTATGAGATCTTATGCAGAATCTTGGTTCTTCAACCTGGTTAGATCACCTAACCCCAGTGACAAAGACACCAGACAGGATGATATCAGAAACTAAACTGACTAGACTAAGGGAAACCGCTGAGGCTTGCACAAAAACTAACTAATCAGCTTCGCCCGTGACACTCAAACCCTAACCCTCAATCTCTGCCTTGAGAAATCCTTGATTAAAAACCATCAGGGATTGGGGCTTACCCTGGGGACTTTGGATGCTATGCATGAAGGATCCACCGCGCCCCTGGGGTGGTGGCTTGACCATCACCATCATTAGCCTGTCCCTCCACCTGTGCTGATCACCACTGCAATAGAGAGCTTCCAGAGGACTGTGTCTGTTTGCAGGGGGGACCCAAGCTGATGCTCCCAGAGTGGGGTGAGGCAGACTCTGCTACTCGGAGTCACAGGACGGAAGGAGTGCAGATTGGCTCTGCTCTGAGGGCCTGCTGGGAGTACGCTCTCAGTTGTGGTATGATGTGAAGAGGGGTTCCTCTGCCCACACAATTTTTACCATTAGCTCCTGTACTATTCTTACCATTTACCAGTAATTATCTTACCAGTGTTTGCCATTAGCACCTGTACTATTACTTGCTTAAAAGGAATGATTTAAATATATCTGTTGTCCAAAAAGTTTGACTGTGAGAACCTAGTAACAGGAGCTGCAAACTGGAAGTAACAAACCCAGCAGAGTGAACACATAGGCCAGCATCCCGTCTGGCTGCACACTTGCTCCTCTGATAGATCACAGAGTGGAGCAAGGCCTGAGGCCCAAGGCCCGAGGCCCAGGCACACATGGGACATGTCCACTGGTGAGAGACCGTGTGGGCAGCCACCACACACACCACACTAGGCCTGCATGTCCCCACACTGTACCTGTAAGCCCCCTGGGAAACTGTGGGAGACAGGAAATCCATACCACTCTGCTTTCATCAGCCAGTTGGACAGGAGTGAATCACAGGGGCTGGCTTTTTTGATGGAGGTAAATGACATCTGGGGATACCTGTAACAACTGCAATATCATAGTAGCATTTGTGGGCTCCAGCAGTGATTTGCCCCAGGTGCTGCCATCCCCACCTCACATTCACTAACTAGGAAGCACTCAGTTGCCACTGGAAATCAATGAAAACAAAAATGCAGTTCCTACCCCAATGTGGGGGCCCCTGAGTTCTACCCCAGGCCCTGGCCCCAGCATAAGCAGGTCCCACAGACAAGGCTGTGATTCCACCACTCATGTCTCTCTGTGGGGCCACTCGGAGGTTTCCCACTTTTCACATGGTGCTCCAGAACCCCACCATGGGGGACAGCCTATCTGCCCACAAGGGCCAGCAAGCCAGTCCTGACACCTTCCGTAGCAAGCAGTCTCAGACCCAGGTTAGCCCCTCTTGACAGTGCATGTGTGTTCTGGAGAAAGAGCCATTCCAGGCTAGTGGGATGCCCTGTGCCATGGAGTGTCTTGCAGGGAGGGGTGACACACTTCCAAGTGCCATGGAGCAGGACAGCCAGAGGGTCAGCAGAATGAATGGAGCCGTGTGTGCAAAGGCCCAACTCTGTGCAGGCCAGGGGCCATCACCTGAGGTGAGCATTGCTGCTCAGCCTGCAGGACCCTGCAAAGAATGGGCGTTGTCCCGAGCCCAAAGAGGGAAATACCCAGAAACGGGCCAGACCACCTGCCATCCAGGGCCTAGGCTGCTTCTCCATGAGGTGTAACTCTGTCGCCCATCTGATATGTCCTGGCTGCCATCAGATGCAAGGACCCTGAACTATGAGGGGCACTGTGATACCCTGTAAACATCATCACAACCAGGACTCTTGGCTAAGGGTACCCCAGATCATCCTGCTCTGGGGTCCCCAGCATTGCTTCAGCACCAGCACCTACTCACTGCCATCTCAGGCCAACGACCTGTCTGGTACCACTGAAAAGGAGAGTTTGAAAAACGAAAGGTCTTTTTCCCCCAAAATACTTTTATTGTTGTGTTACATTTGTGTTTCCAATTGTGAATTTAAAAAATGCTTAGAAAGTGGTTACAAAACAGTGTGAACTGACACGAGGCGCAGACTCGCCTTCTCTGCATGACGACACAGGGCCTGGCGTCTGGGTCAGGTCACCCAGCCGGGGCTCAGTTGGGCTTCTCACTCTCAGAATCTAGAAAACAAAACCACCATAACTCATTATAGGCCCGACGTGGTCGCATCAGACCCTGCAAGGTGGAGCAGTGACCCCAAAGCAGACGCATTGCTTAGTGGGCTGGAAGGGCTGACTATCCCTGTGCAGACAGACTCCCGCTGCCTCATCCCGCTGGCCGTCTCCACACTGGGAACTGCCCTGTGCAGATGGACCCGGCTGCCTCAGCCCCCTGGCCACCTCCACACTGATAACTGTCCCAAACCAGGCAGTGTCTCCCAGCACACATCCATGCCCAGGTTGTCAGGGAGCAAGCTACCCCTGGATCCTTGGGCACAGCAACCCCAAGATGTACCACCTCTGCTCCAGGACAGCACTGAGATGAAGCACCAAATGTAGGTGGACGTTTCCTACCTTCTGTGAGCAGAGGCATAAAGCCTGACTGCATCTCAGTGGGAGTGCAGGACTTGTAGACCAGGGCAGCCACCCTTGCTGGGTGAAACAGGAGGCACTGTGACCCCCACCTTGAGTGAATGCAGGGATACTGGTCCCTGAGCATGAAGCCATCAAGGGCAAATGGCCAGGAACACACACAGAGAGCTCCATGTGGCGCAGGAGTGGTAGAGAAGAGGGTCAGGAGGGGAACCCTCCCCAAACCACACCTGTACCATGGCCCTGTGCCTACAGTACAGTCTGTTCCATGACCCAGCCCCAAATCCTCCTCTCACAAGGCCTTGAGTCTGACACCTCTCTCTGCACTTCATCCAGAGTCATGGAAACCCAGCTTTCTTGGAAACAGCCAACATGGGCAGGTGTCAGGGACACTGTTTAGCTGACCATAAGGTTTACTTTGTCCACAGAGCAGAGCCCACCCCACGTCTATATGCAGCTCAGGTTCAAAGTGGTTGATAGCAGGGTGAACAGACCAACCCAGGTCCGGAGCCTGCAGAGGCTGGCCATCGTTGGGGCCCAGGGCACACCTGGTAGGTGCTGTGTGCAGAAGACTGAGTCCCACCTGACACCCCACTCTCATCCCCCGAGCCTGACAGTTCGGACTCCATCATACCTGGCTCCCACCAGGGAGAGGCGCCCACTGCCTGCCCACCCAGCCAACTGCCCTCCCCTGTCCTCCCTAGGAAACTAGCTGGTTTGGCTTTAATGTGGACAGAGAGAAAGACAAAGAGGTTGTTCCACATTATTTTCAAACAAAAATGTTTATTTTTATTTTTCTCCTTCATATATACAATCTCTTGGGGATTCTGCGCCACTGACCATTTGTGTACAAGGCCAGGACGCCAAGACTCACGCTGGTGCACTGCGGGTAGGGTGAGTACTGAAGGGGTGGGCTTCCACTGCCCTCGGGAACCAGGCACACTAAACTCAACAAAGAACCAAGGGGCACATCACAGAGAAAGCAGTCTCTGAGTACAGAATCATGCCCTGGCAATAGATAATCACCCAGAATATTCAATTCTAACGGAATTGATGGAATAATAAATTTAAACCAAAGTAAGTTAGCCAGTTCTGGTGAGGTTCCAAAGTACAGCAGAATTCTACAGTTCACAGCTGGTCAGCCCAGCCAGCTGTCTCCCTGAGGGGGAGTGAACAACATACTGGTCAGTGAGGAGCAGGACCTTCAGTTCCCTCTGGGGGCTATTTGGTGCCAGTCTAGGAAGAGTCTGCTAACATCCTGAGGGGAGGAACACTGCGCCCTTAGCTGGGTAGGAATGGTGTCTGGAGAGCAGTCAGAGGGCCAGAGGTGGCTTGAGCAGCCTGCAAGTGTGCCATGGAGTGAGGCACAGGTGGCCACAGGCCTCAGGGCAGATAACGGAAAAAGAAGGGCCAGCACCAGGGTGTGCGGGATCCCAGAGCCAAAGGGGTGGTGCTGCCTCTGGAGAATAGCGGCCAGCCTGTGCTCCTGAGATATAGACACACACACCCTTAACTTCTCCACCTCACAGCAGCCCTGCCTGGTTTTAGGTCCTAGGGCGTGTCTGCTCACCTAGCACTTTCCAGCAGGCTCCACACAGCCAAACACAGCTGCTGCTGTTCCTTGCTAAGAGACCAAATGCCCCCAGCAATGCAAGGTCCCAGGAACCATGCAGCCCTAAGAGTCCTGCTGACAGTGCCCACAGTGCTATAGTTGAGGGTGTATGTCCATCTATTGGCCACCAGTGACGCAGAAGCCCAGAAAGGACTCCTTTTATGAAGCAGAGCTCCCCTGCCATTTGCAACTCTGCAATACTCAAGGTTACTAGTTCAGTGTTGTTTTTTTTAAGAGTACCACTTACAGCAGAAAACTAGTGATCAGACTGTAGCTTCTGATTTGTAAACCATTTATATCTCTCTGCAACTTCAAATGGGAAATAAAGATATCAACACACAAGCCAATTGTAAATTAAATACACGTTTTCCAAAATATGGATTTTTAAACATTTTTTTGCATCAGGAAACAGACAAGCTGAAATTCAAGGCACTGTTATTCTAGAGGGTTATTACAATGTCCTAAACATTGATTCAAGTACAGGAAGTAGAGGCAAAGACTGAGTGTAGGCCATGGGAACCTAAGAGGAAATGGGATCTTCAGCATTAAAGGAAGCAAGGGCAGCCCTCATGCAGGCCCCTGTGCTGTGCACTCTCAGGCAGGTGGGGCAGGAGTAGGAGGCCAAACCACAACCTGGCTCCTCTGGGCTATTCAATTCAGCACACATTCCATCTGACAAGTGGTTAGACAGAGCTACACAATCCACAGCCTGGGGTCTGGCACGCTGACCACAGATGGCCATAAGAACTCAAGGAGGACAGGCCCACCAGGTGTGTCCAAGTGTGGTCTCCAGGCAGGGCTTCAGCTGCCTGCCTGGGCTGTCCAGGAACCCCAGGAAACTGGAGCTGAAAGCAGGTTTCTGTATTGACCCAGAGGCAGTGCACAAGGTGTGGATGAGAGGCCAAAGAGGGCAGTACCTGGTGTGTGCACAGGCAGGGCCAGGGCAGTTCCAGGAATGACCGTGGTCGGTAGAGGGCCGGACGCCAGAGCCAGACATGGTGTCCCCACTGCTGCTCGAGGTGTGTTCATCTACAAGACAAGAAGGGGAGGGCACATATGGCTGCAATCACCTGGCCTCCCCCAATGGCCCCGAGGGTCTCTGAAGTTTCTCCATCCTCAAGAGTGTCCCAAGATCTGCCATGGGACACCTTCTAACAGCTGACACCAGTGTGGGACCGGAAAGCAGAGGCCCACCTTTCCTCACTCTCCAAATCTGCAGCCCATCCAACTCTGAGGCTCAAGGTCCCAGCTGTCCACAGGCCAGAGATGGCTCTGTCGGGGCCTGACCACTGAGGGCATCATGAGAGACCACACAGTCCAATCCAAAGGCCTCCTGCCTGACTGGTCAGTGCCCTTATAGGAGGACCAGAGCAGCAGAGAGCTGTGACAGGCATGTGCCCAGGGCCTATGAGTCAATGGCAGGGTAGCTCCTCTGTTCTCCACAATCCAGAGAAGCAGCACAAAGGTGGGGTAGTGAAGAGAGATAGCTGGTCAGACCAGCATGCCCATGATGCAGAAACCTGAGTAGGCTACTGCAAGAAAGGAGACCAACAAACTTCAAATCCCCTACATAGAATGTTGACGGATCTAATTCAGCAACTAAAAATGATAAAACATCACAGCCTGGTGGGGTTTGCCCCAGGAATGCAATCCCGCTGTCCCAGTGGAAATCACTGCACTTCCCCCAGCTGTACCCCAAGGGAGAACCCCATGTGATGCTCTCCACAGATGCAGGGAGGGCATCTAAGGAATCCCACATTCCTTCAAGGAGAGCACAGCAGCTGAGTTCCCATGAAGGAACTCTGCAGAACCTGCAGCCCACCCTGTGCTAATGTGAAGTATTAAATGCACTTCCCCCAAAGGCCCTCCTGCTCCCAGTCAAAATGCACGGGAAGTTCAAGTGAAGGCAATAAAAGGAATAGAGGCACAGACTGAGAAAAAAAGTAAAACCATCTTTATTTACAGATGACAAGATTGTATATGGAGAAAACCCAAAGGCGTGAACAAATCAATTTCAAGAACTAAGAAGCAAATTTAGCAAGATTGCAGGAAACAAGGTACAGAACTCAATTGTATTTCTATACACTAACATACAACTGGAGAATAAAATTTTTAAACAGTATAATTTACAACTGCATTCCAAAACATCCACTACCTAGGGATACATTTAATGAAATATGTATAACACCTTTACTCTGAACACTACAAAACTTTGCTGAGAAAAAAAAAACAAAACACATAAACAGAAATAACAAGTTCATAGGAGCATTCAATACTGTTAATACGTCAAATCTCAACCAGTTGATCAAAAACCCCAATACAATCCCAATCAAAATGCCAGCAGGCTATTCTGTAGAAATTAACAAGTTGTTTCTAAAATGCATATGGAAATATTAAGAACATAGAAAAATCCAGAAATCTTGAAGAAGATCAATGTTGGAGGTCTTACACAACCAGATATTAAACTTTCTATAAAGCCACAGTAAATAAGAGGGTATTGTACTATCATAAGGATAAAAGAATGGCTCAGTGGAAGAAAACAGTGACTTCAGAAATGGACCTACACATGTATATAGCCACTTGATGAATGTCTGTGGAAAGGAACGTGCTGGTAACAACCAGAGGGAGAAAAAAAACCCCAAAAGTACCCCTACATCAAACCATTCACAAAAGTTCATTTGAGGTGGCTTACAGGTCTGACCACAATATCCCTGGTCTTGAAAGAGGCAGAGATCCTTAAATAGAACTAAAATATTACTGAACAAACCAAATATGATAAACCAGACCTCAACAAAATAAAAATTTCTGCCATTTCACTTTCACCATTAAGAAAATAAAAAGACATGCCACAGACTGATAAGAAAAATCTACATAGCAGTGGACCTGAGCAACTCAAACCCATGTTGTTAAGGGTCAACTGTGGTTTCAATCTGCAGCTGGGAAGACACAAGTGCAGAGGGCTGACTTGATGTGGATTTTCAAGTGCATAAGGGGTCAGCACCCCTGACCCTGGACTTGTTCAAGGGTCAACTGTATATAGTGAAGAATATATAGAGAGAGTCAATAAATCAATAATAAAAAGATATTTCAACTTTTAAACAGTAAAGATCCCTGACCAGAAACTTTACACAAAATGGCCAAAAAGAGTACATAAAGTGCCCAAAAGCAAACAAAAACAGCAAGAAACCTAGGTTTTAAATTCTCTTTACATTTTCAAATTCCATTTCCCACATACACTTTGTTCAAAAGTTACCAGAAAAAACAAGGTAATACTAGGTGAAACAGAAAATGGAAACTATAAAATACTATGAGATGGAGAAGTAAGATTGAGAATCTGAGCAGAGAGCTGAAAACTATAAAAAAAGGATGTAGCAAATGTGTGTGTGTGTGGGTGAGGGAATAACAAATATGAAATCTTCAACTGAAAAATACAATACCTGAAATTAAAATTTAAAGCATAGAGTTAATAGCAGTTTAGACAAAAAGGAAAAGTTCTGTGAAATAAGATTTAAAGAAAATATCTGGAATAAAGTATCAAGAGGCAAAAGATGAGAAAAATAAGTAAGAGACCAAGGACAAGGTGAAAAACTGAAGTCTCAAGAGGAGGGGAGGGGAGGAGAGTGAAGCAGGAGCAGTATGGGAAGAGATAATGAAAAAGAAAATATCCAAATTTGATTTAAAAAAAAAATCAACCCAGGAGTCATGAAGCTCTATGAAGTATAAGCAAATAAACATTTATTTATATTCTTAGGTACCATGTAATAAATCTTCTTAAAAGTGAAACTATTAGAAGCCAGAAGAAAAAAGGATGTGTTATGTTTAAAGAAGCAACTAACAGATTTGCAGCATACTTCTAGCAAAAACAAGGGTCGCTAAATAACAATGTAATGAAAATGTCACATGCTGAAATAACTGCTAACCTCCAATCCTACACCAATTGAAAATATCCTCCAAGAATGGTGATAAAATAAAGATACTTTTAGACCAAATCTGAAAAAGGAGGTACACAATTAAAGGATATTTTGAATGATTCCAGATGGAAGATTAGCGATAAGAAGGAATGAAATGACATAACTGGTAAATACACAAATGAATGAACATTGACCATATAAAAAATGTGTTGTGGGATTGGAAGTCCATGTATAATTTAAAAAATAAGTGTCATGAGGAAAGTAAATCCAGGTGAAGCATTTTATGGTCTTTGTAGTGTCTCAACAATGGGTAAGAAAAAAATAGTCTTTAATAATTTACATTAAATGTAAGTGAACAAAATCATTTAAAAAACAGAAAAAATGAAACAGGCAAATTATGTGCTGTTTACAGGAGATATATCTAAAACAGAAGGATATAGAAAGGGTGAGAGTAAAGAATGGGAAACCATACACCATGCAAATAATAATCCAATATAACCTACTATAGTTATAGCAACTTTAGACAAAGCGGATTTAAGGAAAAAAATTTATAACAGAGATACCCGGTATTGTTAAAAGTTCAACTCGCAAGTCTGACATGGTTAATCTAAATTTGAATACACTAGTAATATAGATTCAAAATATATAAGGCAAAAATCAACAGAACTACAATAAGAATTACACAAATCCACAACCATAATGTAATGGGGCACAGCCAGGGCCCCCCCCCCAAAGTGTATTTGTAACGGGGTCCAGAGATTGGGGTGTCCAAGAAAAATATTTTCTCCCACCCCAGGGCAGTCCGCCATGGGGGATGAGAGCCTTGAGCAGGGCCACTGAGAGTCATTTTGCATGTCAATAACAGGATAGCTCTTTCCTCATAGGCAAAGAGGGTTATTTTGCATATCACCAAAGCTAATCAGAAAGGTTTCAAAGACATTATACAGTAGGTAACTGGGAGAAAAAGAGGAGAGACAGGGGCCTGCAGGAGAGACAAAGGGACACAGAGTCTGGGGAACAGTGTGAAGACCGCATGGAAAGTAAGGGGAGAAAGGACTCTTGCTAGTGGGTCAGGAGAAGGTGCCACAGGTTGTGAATTAAGAGCTGGAGATCGCGGCGATGTAGCGGATGGTGCTGAGCCCCAGACTTCTGTTCTTTTTCTTCCGAAGGACAGTACCCCTGACTGGCCCAACTGGGCAAAGCGGGGAAGGCAGGACTGTGTGTGTGCTGGTGACTGTTTTGAAGGGATTTTGACGTAAGGGTGACATTTAGCCATTAATCAAACCTGTAAAACTTTTGAATAAATAGTTTCTTCCCTTTCACCAAACTCTGCCATTCAGAGCCATAATACCAAGGGTGGCGGGCAAAAGACCCACAACCGAGGGGTCCTGGGGAAGGAGGGTGTGTTTGTTTCAGTAATAGCATCTGGGCACCCTTCCCCCATGGGTCCTTTTGTTCGGTAACAATAATGGTAAGTTTAAAAATTCCTCTTTATAACTGACAAAATATGCACAAACACAGAAAAACCCATTAAGAAAAGGAAAAAAACAACTACAAACCATCAGAACTGAATTTATCAGAACTCTAGAAAACAGCTAATGCTTTATAGCAATCAAGTAGAAGCCAAAGGCAAATAAAAAGGCAAATTTTAAAAAGCACTGTGGTATTTTTACTGGCCATTGGCCCACCCCTCCCCTGCCTTTACAAATGTCTTGAAGAAAGCAGCCTACATTCCCAGTGTGGTACCCTGGCCCGTGGTTCTTAAGGGAGCAGAGATCTTATTCACAAATTACTCTGTATGTCTATCCTAACCTGTCTGGAAGCCACCTGAAGGACTGACAAGAGTTCACAAATTTGGACCGCCTGACCAAATTTGGAACTCTCTCAGGGCAGAAAAGTGGCTTGCATTGCTCAAACACTTTGTAAGGCAATCAAAAAATCCACACTTGCCCAGGGCCAAAGATTACGGTTGAAACACATATAAACTGCCTAAAGCCAATATAGATAGAAAAGCATGCAAAAACAGTTTTCTTTTTACTATTAGGGCACTCAAAAGTGCTATGTACTGGGGGATTTAACTTAGAAAGCCATGTGCATGCCCAGAGCAGGATACATGTT